TACTGTTCCCTCTTGGATACCAGTGTATACCACAGTAACAATCCCTTTCCTGTCCAGGGGGAACTGCCACTGTGAGGCTGTCTCGTCATTCTGTGTAGACAGCTTCAGGGCCCGTCAGTAAGAGGGACCCCCTGCCTTCCACACCCAGCGTGCTGTTACTTCTCATGTTCTCTCCTGGTCTCCAGGCTGAAGGACGTGCTGTGTAAGAATCTGAAGAAACACACACCCACATCTGATGGCGGGGAAAGGAAGTCCACAGAGAACTGTTTCAGGTTGTCATCCAAACTCCTCTTCCTCCCAGCTCTGCATTGACATCGACCTTGCCCTTGTATCTAAAACAAACCCAAGCAGGACCCAGAAACCTTTTCCCCTTCTAAATTAGTGTCTTCGTGAATTGCGTTTTACAACTTATCAAAATGGTGCTTCGACACTGCTGGTAAACAGGTTGGCAACAAAGAGAAACACCCTCTCAACTGCACCAGGTCGCCGGCAGGTGAGAGGAGCCAGCCGCTATGCCGGTACCTGAGCAGGAAGATCTAGCTCCCTGGAGGCTCTCCCTTGGTAGAAGGGAGAGTCCTAGTGAGTGCCACCTGAACTCAGGTTCTGAAACACTCTTTTGTGCTCTCTGACCCAAATTTCAGCACCAGTTTTTTCCATTCCATTCTCTAGGATTAAAAGATTAAAAAAAAAAAAAAGGGAGTTCACAGGCAAGTGACATGTGCTTTAAACTTGTTGCCATCCTTAATTTCTTCATAGACTTTGCTGAAAAGACTAAAATTCCCATTGCTTTTTTTTTAAAGAATTACTCATTTTATTTTATTTATTCATTCATTTGTTTGACAGAGAGAGACACGCAGAGAGAGAGGGGAAGTGAGAAAGCAAGCCACCAGGTCCAGGACTCAAACCGTGGTCTGCCATGTGGGAATGTCCAGCTCCTTAACCACCATGCCACCTGCTGGTCCCTCCCATTGCTCTTTTAAAATAGATTCCTGCCCTCAACCCCAAAGGTCACTGGCAAGGACTTTTATTTCCCCATAGACAGTGATTCTTTCATCTTCCGGGTCATAGTTGGGATCAGGTACATGTGGTCATCCCCACACCTGGACACGCAACTGTCCAGCTGCCGCTTCCCCTGAGGGCCTTGCTCCCTGCGTCTATGAGATCTTCGCCTTTGTCATTGCAATGTGTGGTGCACCGTGCCAGGTGGTCCTGGAACTTTCCCAGCTCATTGGTCACCAAGGCCTGGGCTTGGGCCAGAGGTGTATGGCAGCACTTGATGCATTGGTGCACCTGCTGCATGGACGCCTGATTGTCCTCACAACAGCCTGCGCTGCACCAGAACAGGAGGCCCTGCAACTTCCGGAGGTTCTCTCGCTCCAGGCTCTTCACGGTGGAGTCCACGGCTTCCTGGACCCGGAGCTGCTGCAGCTCAGCCATGGAGACCCCGCACTGTGCGGCACAGCGCCCACATCGTACACCTGGGTCTTGATGATGACTACCGTAAGTGTACTCATTTGTCAATACTCAGGACGCCTTGAACTCAAGAGTTACGCATGGAACTGCATATAAATGATATTCTTATGAAGCACTGGTCGCATACAGAAACGCTGGTCACAAACTACTGAACTGATGTTTGAACCCACTAGTGGTTGTTACTTTAGGTAACACAGTCCACAGGGCCTGCAGGATTAGGAAAATGAGCCCATGTGCCTAATTCAAGTGTCTTCCAAACCTTCCAAAATTCTTCTGAAAACCATTTCACAACAACTTTGAGAGGTAAACTGAATACAAGTCTAAAATATGACTGTTATTTTTACTCGCTTATCAATGACTGAAAATGTACTATGTGTTAGGCACTGAAAAAGCAAGAGTGGCTTTAGCAGTCCACGAAGTTCTAGCCTTGGAGCTTACATTGCGGTGGAATAGATTTTGGTATTTCCATTTTAGTACTGTTATTAATTCCAGATCAGACTGAGCCTTCTTGCACCTCTTGTTGGCATACGTGTTAAGGGTCTAGATCCTGAATGTAGTCTATATGGCTCCACTCTCCCAAGGCTTCTCTGCTGTGTGGTCTTCCAACCACTGTAATATGTCAAGTTGGGGCTAAAATATTGACCCTTTTGCGGAACAGAAGTTGTCTCCTGTGACAGATCTGATAAATAGAGTATTTTGGCTCCTACTTGAGGTATTAAAACATATAAATTTAGGGACTAGCAGTTAGCATAATGGCCTTGTCGTTGGACTCCCATGTGGTCAACCGCTGTTCAAGTCCCTCATCCGGCGACTTGAACTCACGCTGGTGCATGTGCGTGCGTGCCCAAGATCCTGAGAGAAGAATGGAGGAGAAGGGATTGCGGCATGACCATCCTCCCCTGGGGGGTGATGTCTCACTTTCTGTCTCTCTGTCTGTCTCTGTCTTTCTGGCAAGCACACACGCCCTATAGTAAAAAAAAAAAAAAAATCGTGTAAGTTTATAGCCTTTTTTTCCTGTATGAATTCTCTGAAGGAAAATCCTTGTCACCTTCATCATCGGCATGGATTCGCTGATAAGGCTTGAGCTCCATCTGAGGCCCTTGCCACACTCCTCACATTTGTATGGTTTCTCACCAGTATGGACTCTCTGGTGGGTATGAAGGTAGGATCTTTGTCTGAAGTGCTTACCACACACATCACATCCCTACGATTTTTCTCCTGTGTGGACCCCACGATGAGCCAGAAAATTCAAGGCCCGACAGGAGCTCTTCCCACACTCCTGACATTGGTAGGGTTTGTCTCCAGCGTGGCACCTCTGATGGGCTTGAAACTGTGAACTGACACTGAAGCCTTTCCCACACACTGCACACTGACATGGTTTCTCTCCATTGCGGACTCTCTGAGGCACTCGAAGACTTGAGGACTGACGGCAGGACCACACTTCTCACACGTACAGGGTTTCTCTCCTGTGTGAATTCTACAATGAACATTGAGATCTGAACTCTGACTGAAGCCCTTCACACATGTACCACATTTGTATGGTTTCTCTCCCGTGTGGCCTCGTTGATGGGCCAGAAGAGTTGAGGCCTGACTGAAGCCTTTCCACACTCTTGACATTTATAGGGCTGTTCTCCTGCATGGACTCCAAAATGAATGCTAAAATCTGAGCTACGACTGAAGCCCTTACCACATGTACCACATCGACATGGCTTCTCTCCAGTATGGCCTCTTTGACGGTCTAGATCTGAGGCACGACAGAAGCCCTTTCCACACACCTCACATTTGTAATGGTTTCTCTCCAGTGTGGCTTATTCGATGGGTTTGAAGGTGTGACCCCACACTGAAGCCTTTCCCACACTCCTCATTTATAAGGTCTCTCTCCTGTGTGGATCCTACAATGACTGTTAGGGCGTGAGCTGTAACTAAAACCCTTGCCACACGCATTGCATTTGTGTGGCTTCTCTCCAGTGTGGATTCGCTGATGAGCCTGTAGTTGGGATCCCCAACTAAAACCCTTCCTACACTCTTCATATTTATAAAGCTTCTTTCCACTGTGGATTCTCTGATGGACTTAAAGATATGAGTTCTGGCTGAAGCTCACCCCACATTCTTCACATTTATAGTTTTCTCCTGTCTGGACTATCAGGAGTTTGATGATGTGAATTCTTCCCAGCATTCCTCCCATAGTCCTCATATTTGTATGGATTCTCTCTGGTGATGGTGAAGACATGATTTCTGACTAAAGCCCGTAGACAATCCATCATATTTGTATGATTTCTCTCTACTGTGGACTCTCTGATGGGCTTGAAGACTTGAAAACTGGTGAAAGGAGTTACCACACTTTTCACATTTGTAGGGCTTTTCTCCTGCATGGGCCCTCTGATTACTTTGAAGATGAGAGCACCAAATGAAACTTCTCACATTCCTTCCCTTTGTAGGTTGTTTTTTGTTTTTTTTTTTAACCACTGTGGATTCTGCAGTGAGCTTAAAGGTGAATGAACTCTGACTACGGAACTCCTCATCTTTATAGGGAATATCATTTTGTTTTTCCAATTGAGAGCCAGTTCCTTGAACATTTAGCGTGGAACCTTGACACTTGGTTAACTCTCGTATAACTTGTTGCCAGATCTGTGAGCAGAAAAGCTCTTCAAGTGGAAGGTACCTTAAAGAGTCTTCATCTCATTGAGATTCTTCCTTCCTGAAAGGTTATCATTCTGAGTTGCCACTTTCATCATCCAGAGCTTTTCTTCCCTCTCTGACTGGGGTGTGACATCTGGGCTGAATGGCTGATGCTGCAGTGAGACCAAGTTCCCCAAGTTCACATCCTGGTGCAGCTTCCTCTGGGCAGAGTCCTGCAGCCCCAGCTCCCCCAGCTCCTCCTCTGTGAAGACCACTGCCACATCCTTGAAGCTTACCACCTCCTTGACCTTGGTCATGCTGTCCTCCTCTTTCTGGGAAAGGGCTGAGTCTGTGAGGAGGCTACTGCTGGACCAGTTGAGTGACCTTGGTACAACCATCTAAACCTCTGGACTTGTCCTCAGCTCAGGTGAATTTCTAGAAGGCCATTTACCTCTTCCTGATGGAAATGTCATTGGATAATTCCCCTCTGCCAACTTCTTTTTTTTTTTGGAGAGGATTTTGCTATAGGGCGCATGCACTCACCAGAAAGACAGAGAGAAAGAAAGAAAGAAATCACCCCCTAGGGAGGATGGCCACATCACAATCCCTTCTCCTCCATTCTCCTCTTGGGATCGTGGACATGCACGCACATGCGCCTGGCATGAGTTTAAGCCACCTGGTCTGGGACTTAAGCTGTGGTTAACTACATGGGAGTTTAGCGATGTAGCCATTATGCCATCTGGTAGTTCCCCCCTTTGCCAACTTCTTTCTGGGCACTCTGAGAAGAATGACAATGTCCATGAAACAGAGGTCTCTGCAGCCTTCTCCCACTTGGCCATTTGAAAGAGAAGAGGAATGCTGAGTCCAGCCACAGTGGAGCTCTGCTGCTAGGAGCCAGGTTCACTCCCTTCTCTCTGCAACCTTCTTCCCTAAGTCAGGGCAGCAGGAGGAAGGAAAGAAGGCCGGGAGGTACCATGATCTGGTTGTAGTCCTGCAAAATCCACAGGGGGACCTCTTCTGACTCCATCTGTGAGTGAAGCGCTTTCTCTAAAAACAGTTCAGAATCAGTCCACAAACAGCCTCCTTTGCTCTCTCAGAAGAACCAAAGCCACCAGCTCTACCTCCTGCAGTGGAAGTGCCTCAAACTTCAAAGCAGTTCTCAGAATGCATCCTCATTGTTAAGGGACTCTTCACTGTAATAGAAGTGACCTGAGACTGTAACTCTCATTTCTTTGTAAGCATTTGATGACTATGCAGGTCAGTGTGGGAATCAGTGTCCTCTTCTTAGGTGAGGAAACCAGCGCTCACAGTAGCCACTGGTTATAAGACTCTGAGCAGATTCCGGCTCACTGCATTTCCATGTTCACAGCGGGCCTAGAGCAGGGTCTTGCACAAAGGTGGCGCTGTGTGTGCTGGGTGAGAGGGTGATGAACGCAGGCGACTGTATCCCAGGACTAGCAGGTCTTTGGTGCTTTCTGGTTCCAGAAGATGTGCTCCAGCACGTCTAGGCAAGAAGCTACACTCCTGGCTTATTCCTTTCCAGAAAATTGGTGGTTCTTGATTCTTTTCACCAAGTTATCCATTGATACAATGTCGTCAGATTCTCAGACAAAGCCCATCAGACCTAATTTGGGCAGTGCTCCAAACCTAACTTCAGATGATACATGTGTGTGTGTGTATGTGTGTGTGTATGTATATATGTGTGTGTATATATATATATGTATGTATATGTGTGTGTGTATATATATATGTATATATATGTATGTATATGTGTGTGTGTGTGTATATATATATATATATATATATATGTATGTATTTGCCATAGGGTGTGTGTGTTTGCTGGAGAGAACCAGACAGGCAGAAGGAAAGTGAGGAAAGTGAGAAATCAACCCCCAGGGTAGATGGCCATGCTGTAATCCCTTCTCCTCCACTCTCCTCCTGAGATCTTGGGCACGCATGCACACGTACCTGGCATGATTTTCAAGCCACCATGTCTGGAACTTGAACCACAGTCAGCCATGTGGGAGTCCAGTCAATTTCTATACCACCTGCTGGCCCCAGATTAATTTTCTATTTCCTTAAGTTCCAAAGAGATTTGTTACTCTTCTTCTCTAGAATACTTTTAAAGATTCATTTATTATTATTTTTTAAAATTTGCTACAGGGCACATATGCTCACCAGAGAGACAGGGAAAGTGAGAAAGCAAACCTTCAGGTCCAGGACTCAAACTACAGTCAGCCATGTGGGAATACACCTTTAATCACCACATCATTTGCTGGCCCCATCTCTAGAACATGTTTTTTAAAGAATTATTTTACTTATTCATTCATTTATTTTAATATGACCACACACACACACACACACACACACAAAGAGAGAGAGAGATGGAGAGAGAGAAAGTAAGAAATCAAGCCATCAGGTCTGGGACTTGAACCGTGGTCAGCTACGTGGGAGTGACCAGTACCTTAACCACCATGTCACCTGCTGGTCCCATCTCTAGAATATTTTTTAACAACCTGTGCAACCTCGTAGTGGGTGCTTAAATTAGTGGGTTATGACCATAGTTTTTGAAAAACAAAAGAGTAGATATAAGAGGTAAATATCATTTCATGAGCTTCTGTTACTGGGTTGCACTAATGAAATGGGTCCTTTATCACGGATTGTGCTTGAAAAAGTCTGAAAACCACCATTGGTGGCATAATCTCGTCTTGCTTAAAAATCTCGTCTATAATGGAGCAACCTGTCACCAGATGAAGCAGGTTTCAGATTCTTTCAGCTTTTTTTTTTTTTTTTGAGAGGTTTTTGCTATAGGGCGCGTGTGCTTGCCAGACTAACAGAGACATAGAGACAGAAAGCGAGAAATCACCCCCCAGGGGGGATGGTCACCCCGCAATCCCTTCTCCTCCATTCTCCTCTCGGGATCTTGGGCACGCACGCACACGCGCCCGGCTTGAGTTCTAAGCCACCGGGTCCGGGACACGAACCGCGGTCGACTACGTGGGAGTCCAGCGACTGGACTGAACTGCTGGTTCCCCTAGATTTTTTCAGCTTTAACGACATGATCTCTGTTTAAGTTCAAATGGATGACTCAGCAAATGGCTGGAATAATTATAAACTTAAAACTCTTGTGTAAAATGATTGGTCTAAAGTTTTTCAAAACAAGCCATTTAAAAAAACTAATTGGGGGGCCAGCAGGTGGCATGGTGGTTAAGGCTGTCAGTGGTTTGAGCCCTACACCTGAGGGCTTGAAAAGCATGTGCACATTCCCAAAGTCCAGAAAGGAAAGAAAGATCGAAGAGAAGGGATCGTGGCTTGACTGTTTCCCACGGAGGAGTGCTTCGCTGTTTCTCTCTCACCCTCTCTGGGGAGTGCACGTGCCCTTTAACAAAAACAAAGGAAGAAAGCAGTCAAGTGGTGTGGGGGTTAAGGCAGCTAGATCCCACATGCCCAAGTGCATGGCTGAGTCCCAGGTCCTCTGGCTTGAAAAACACACCAGCACAGGTGCCTCTGTGCCCAAAATCCCAAAGGAGAGTAGGGAAAAAAGACGGGTGTGGTCATGTCCCGGGGAGTGAGTGCTTTTTCACTTTCTCCCTCTCCTTTCACTCTCTGGCAAGCACACATATCCTATAGCAAATTTCAAAAATGAAACAACAAAACAACTAATTGCCCAAGGCCCAGTGGTTGAGGCAGGTGGCTCCCGCCTGGCAGAGTGCCTGGTTTGAGTCCCGGACCTGGCCGTTTGTGTACCAGGTATGTGTGCACGCGTGCCCGTCTCCCACAGCGTGTGCTTCCCTCCTCCCTCTCCCTCGCTCCCTCCTTGGCGAGCATACAGACACTATGGCAAATGAAAAAACAAAACCCAAAACGTTGTAAGGCTAAAGTAGCCCTGACATTTCGCCTCTAGTCCACCCTTGTGACAAGGGAGCTTTATTTCTCCTCTGGTACCTTGCCATAGTGCTCTTTTGTAGGGTAATGGAGGCTGGCCCCACAGGGGGTACTTCCTGTCATCCCCTCTCCAGCACGCGCACGTGCCCTCTGCCAAGAAAATAAAAACAGGCGTAATACATGCTAGCTTGACTTCTTTTCATTTTCATCTTATTTGCTCTTATTGTTGAAGAATTACTTTATAGAGTTTATTTATTATTACTATTTTTTAAGAATTATTTATTTTATTTATTTATTCATTTATTTTTTATTTGACAAAGAGAGAGACAGACATGGGGAGGGGAAGAAATGAGAAAGCAAGCCACCAGGTCCAGGACTCGAACTGTGGTCAGCCATGTGGGAGTGTCCAACACCTTAACCCCCACACCACCTGCTGGTCCCATTATTACTATTTTTTAATTTGACCAGAGAGAGAAGGAGAGAGAGAGGGAGAGAGAGAGAGGGAGGGAGAAAATGAGCAAGCAAGCTGCCAGGTCCGAGACTCAAACTGCAGTCAGCCATGTGGGAGTCCAGCGCCTTAACCACCACGCCACCTGCCAGTCCCTCGCTCTTTTTTTTCTAATAGCCAAAGGGCTCATCGCTTGCCAGTGACAGAAACACAGAGAGAAACAAAGGAAGAAAGCACTCCCTAAAGGGATGTGGTCATGCTGCAATCCCTCCTCCACTTCTCCACCCTGCTGGGATGAGGCAGCACGGGAGCCCACAGCATCTTTCCAGCTGCCAGGGCCAGGACTTGAACCACAATCAGCCATGTGGGATCTGGCTCCTTAACTAGGCTATGGGGCCTGTCCTTACGTACTCTTTACCATGGAAACTGGGTTCATAAACATCTGATCAGAAAGTGCCAGCAGGAAGCAGGGTGGCTGTGTATCCTTGCTTCACAAAGGCGGGGCACAATTTTGAGCAGGGTTCTTTGTCCTTTTGGGCACTGTGGGTAGTCCATCATGTCTGTCACCACGGTGGCCATGAGCATGGTCTTCATTATCACTCCATTATTTGCCTGAAGAAGTCAATGACTTGGAGAAGAGACCACTAACTCACCAACCATTATCAAATATCCTTTCAGCGAAATAAACTCAAAATAGCAATCTCTGTTCTGCTTCATGTACCTTTTTAAAAATTACTTATTTATTTACTTCCATTTGTTATTTTATTATTATTTTTTAATTTGACCAAAGCCACAGAGAGAGAGAGAGAGACAAAGGGAAAGTGAAAGCAACCTGCCAGGTCCAGGACTTGAACTATGGTCAACCAGGTGGGAAACCAGTGCCTTTAACCACTGTGCCACCTGCTGGCCCCGTTTCATGTGCTTTTATTGAGCTCCTGCTGTGTTCCTACCCACACTGAGTGCCTTGAGAAGACAAGATCAAAGGCTGACCCAGCCTCCGTGGCAGTTGCAGTGTGGACTGTGGAGCTGGATACCACATGCCGACCACAGTTTGAGTCCCTGGTCTAGTAAGTCTCAAAACGCACTGGTTGCATCCATGTGTCCAGGAACTCGGCAGGGGAGTGTGGCACGACTGAGACCGGTGGTGCTTCTCTCCCTCTCTCACTTGCTCTCTCATGCACACACACACACACACATAATCAGGAATTTAAAAACAAAAAAAGGCCCAGCTGGCCCAGCCTAGAGGCATGAACTACAGCATACAGGCCGCAGTGCTGGAAGCCACAAGCTGACCGTGTAATCGTGCTGGGCAGCACACGGCACTCAAGATCTTGAGCTGGAGGGCAGTGGAAGGGGCATCACAGTATGACAGGACTTTGTCAAGGGGAGCTCTCTCGTGTGCCACGCACACACACCATCATTTAAAGAAGAAACAAGGGACCAGCAGATGGCGTAACTGTTATGTCACTGGACTCCCACTTAGACGACCACGGTTCGAGTCCTGGACCAGGTGCCTTAAAACTCACATCAGGTGTGTGTGCGTACATGCTCAAAGTCCCAAGAGGAGAATAGAGAAGGGATTGCTGTATGGCTATCCCCCAGGGGGATGATTTCTCACTTTCTGTCTGTCTCTTTCTCTCTGGCGGGCACACCTGCCCTATAGCAAAAACCTCTCTTGAAAAACAAGAAAAAGAAACAAACACGGGGTCAGCAGGTAATGTGAGGGTTAAGGCACTGGGTAACTAACGGGTCAACCGTGGCCCAAGTCCTGAACCTGCTGGTTTGAAAATCATGGCAGGTGAGTGCACTGCACTAACATCCTGGGAGAATGGGGAGGGATGGTGATGTGGCCATCCTTGGGGGAGTTTTCCTCTCACTGTCTCTGTCTCTCAGTGACAAGCACACATGCCCTATGGCAAAAACCTTAAGCAAAAAAGAAAAGGAAAATCATGTCAGATATGTTTGTGGGTGTGTGTGTGTTCCTAAAATCCCAACAGGAGAATGGAGAATGGAGAAGGATGATGGCATGGCTATCTCCTTGGGAGTTGATTTCTCACTTTTCTTTCTCTCTGTCTCTGGCAAGCACTCATGCCCTATGGCAAAAAACAAAAAACAAACAAACAAGCAAACAAAAACAAAACCAAGAAAGAAAGAGAAAAACAAACAAACAAACAAAAACAAGAAAAAAAAGTGCAGCCATTGCAAGGCTACCTGCTCTAGGTGAGGAGAGGAGGGAGTGATGGGAAGAGAACCACCACGCCTCTATAAGCAGGCTGGGAGCCTGGACTCCAGGGCTCTCCCCTGCCCGGCTGAAATCTGACTGTCCTCAGCAGCTGTGGGTGCTGAGGGAGCTACTGAGCCTCTCTCTCCTTTTCAGGTTTTTTTTTTTTATTTTTCTTTTTTTGCCATAGGACACCTGTGCTTGCCAGAGAGGGAAAATGAGAAGCCATCCCCACCCCCAGGGGGCACGGCCACGCCGTAATCCCTACTCTTTCCTTCTCCTCCATTCTTACCTTGGGATTTGGAGCACTCAAACACAAGCCTGGTGTGATTTTCAAACCTCCAGGTCTAGGACTTGAACTGTGGTTGGCCATGTGGGAATCTAGCACCTTAAGCACCATGCTACCTGCTGGCCCCAAGAGCCTAAAAAAGAGGTTTTTGTCTTAGGGCATGTACGTTCACCAGAGACAGAGACAGGAAAAGGGAAAATGGGAAACTGCCCTCCAGAGGGGATAGCCACACCACAATCCCTTCTCATTCATTCTCCTCTGGGATCCTGGGCAAGTATGCACACGTGCCCAGCATGAGTTTCAAGCCACTGGGTCCAGGACTTGAACTGCAGCTGGCCGAGTGGAGTCCAGCAACATAACTGCTATGCCATCTGCTGGCCCACGGACTCTCATCTTTAAACTGCCACCAGTCATTCCTTTCCTCTCCATTCTTGCTTTCCAACTCCTGCACTAGGACAACCTGATATTTTGAGCATAAGGCAAATATGGTAAAACATACACGAAAACCTTTTATTTTAGCTCTTCCTGGCCAGTGCTTACCTTGATGTTCAGATTACCAAAAATGTATCTAGAAACACACACACAAAAGACACAGATCTCTCCTTGTTGTTGAAATAGCTAAAAATTTGGCATCTTTATTGATCTTAAGTCATATACTTAGCTTAAAAAAAAAAAAAAACATAAATAGTTGCAATTAAGAGTTAGACAAATGAAATGGTTCTTCTAGGTCTCTACCTGCTCACGGGGGGCCACCTTGCAAGGTCACCTGGCATACACGCAGCCCCAGGAGTCAGCCCCATGGAAATAATTTGTGAAAGCAAAACCAGAGAGATGCCATTCGTTTCTCATCACATAAACATCACCTGACCTTAATTAATCAAGCTACTTATTTAAAAAAATCAACTGTGACTGGAAATACTCATAGTGCTCAGGTGTTACTGTCATTCTGCTCTGTCTGAGAAGCCGAGAAAACTCTGAATCTCAGAATTAGAAGCAGCCTAAGTGCTAAGGCTGCCTAGGCCTCCTGCTACAAAATGGTGCCAATCTAACGTGCAGGTCTCGAAAGCATGGCAGGAATGAAAGGGTCTTGCTTGAGTTCAGGAGAACTTCCCAGAAGGAGGTGGCGGGCCAAGAAATCCACCTGCCTGCTTGGTGGCAGCGCGTGAAGGGGCGAGGCCGAGAATCTTCTGGATATTCTGTGAAGAGGACATGAGAATCAGGTTTAATATGAGACATGCTGGAGTGTGTGAACCACCACCACGACCTTCAGCGGGACGTTGTTACTGTTGCTATTTCACTATCATTTTTAGTTTGTGCTACAAGGTCAGTAAGAGAAGAGAGACCGAAAAAGTGAGAGATCACTCCCCAGGGGGATGGCCCTTCTTCACTCTCCTCTTGGGATTTTGGGCATGCACGCACTACCCAGTGTGTTTCTCAGTACACAAGGTCCAGGGCTCAACCATGAAGCTGGCCATGTGGGACCAATGCCTTAACCTAACCTCCCCGTCACCTACTGGCCATTTCTACTTTTTAAAAAAAATTTATTTGGGGACCAGCAGTTGGCGTAATGGCTATGTCGCTGGACTCCCACATAGTCGACCGTGGTTCGAGTCTCGGACCCGGTGGCTTAAACTCACGCCGGGCGCGTGTGCGTGCACGCCCAAGATCCCGAGAGGAGAATGGAGGAGAAGGGATTGCAGCATGGCCTCCCCCCCTAGGGAGTGATTTCTCGCTTTCTGTCTCTTTGTCTCTCTCTGTCTGTCTGGCGAGCGCACGTGCCCTATAGCAAAAAAAAACCTCTCCAAAAAAAGGAAAAAAAAATTATTTGTTTTATTTATTTATTTTAATTTGACCAGAGAGGGTCAGAGTGAGAGAGAAAGAGAGAGAGAGGGAAAGTAAGAAAGCAAGCCCCCAAGTCCAGGACTCGAACCGTGCTCGGCCATGTGGGAGTCCAGCAGCCTTAACCACCTTGCCACTTGCTGGCCCCAGCCATTTCTATTTTTAAAAGTAATTGCAATGGGGGACCAGCAGTTAGCATAATGGCTATGTTGCTGAACTCCCATGTAGTCGACCACAGTTCGAGTCCCAGACCCGGTGGCTTGAACTCACGCTGGGCACGTGTGTGTGCATGCCCAAGATCCTGAGAGGAGAGTGGAGGAGAAGGGATTGCAGCGTGGCCACCCTCCTGGGGGATGATTTCTCGCTTTCTATCTCTCTGTCTCTCTGGCGAGCACACACACCCTATAGCAAAAACCTCTCAAAAAAAAAAAAAAGTAATTGCAATGGAGTGGAGACCACAGAACAAAGACCTCTTCATGTAATGGGACCTTGATCTACTAATCAAAGATGCTGAGTGTTTCCAGTGGAGAATCATAAAATGAGAGAACCTCTGACCACGAAGCATCTGCTGTGTAAGCTATTTCTTGAAGCAGGGCCTTTTCTCTGAGTATGGGTCTCCTGGCTGGATTTAGTCATTATCATACTGTCTACAACTGTCGGTGACAATTTCTTGAAAGCAGTGAAATAACTTAGAAGATCTGCAAAACAATCTGCGTTCAGAATTTCCCTAGATTTTTAGCGTCCCCCAACTTTTTCAGTTACCTCACTAATGCAACAATATTATTTTTAGAAACTGACCTTTATTCAGTTTTTCCAAACTTACTAGTTCTCACAATAACAGCTTCTTAAGTGTTTACAGGGCCAGCTGGTGGCATAGTGGCCAAGGTGCTCGACTCCCACATGGCTAGCTCTGGGTTGAGTCCCTGACCTGGCGGCTTGCTTTCTCACTTTCTCCCTCTCTGTCACTCTCTAGTGAGCACACGTGCCCTAGAACACATTTAAAAAACAACAATGTTAATAATACCTCCTTCTCTCTTTTATGAGAGAGAGGGCGCAGCAGGGTCCCCTACGCTGTGCTCTTCCCGCCACGCCCTCTTGCCAGACAAGCTCGCAGCATGCCTGCTGTGTTCAGGCCAACCTGGATCCGAACCCCAGGCCTTCCCAACCCCGTGGCTCCAATACTGTACAGTGCCCTCCTGGCATTTCAGAAGAGGGGAGAACCTTAGAAAATTCATTATTCTTGTTTAATTCCTTCATTTCGTATTTGAGGAATATAAACTTGGAAAGATGGCTCGCCTGAAACGACTCAGGCAAACGGAGAGCAGAGCTGGACAGGGAACCACGGGCTGTGACTCAGCCTGGCGGCTCTCGCCCTGTACTTTCTGTGACGTTCGGGTCTCCAGAACGAGCCCCACCCCGGGGCGGGCAGACCTGCCATATCGGGCTGCTCCTACCACAGTAACCGAGGACCCACTGGATGCGAGGGAGGCGCCACAGGAACACCTCCCGGTGGTGGAGTAGCTGCTCTGAGCGTGTGTTCCCGCAGCCTTCCACGTAAAGACTGACGACTGCTAGATACGAGTGTGGGGATTTCTGAGCTAACACTCCGTCAGAACGCAGTGGAATGTTCAAATACGCACAACCCAATTTTAAGAGCTCAGTTAAACGCCACGAATATTGTAATACATATTATTTCTCAATGCCACAGCTCATGCTTTAAGAAGAAATCTGAAAACAGGTTAAAAAGAGAAATCAATCACTGGGACCAGCAGAGCGCAATGGTTAAGTCTCTGGACTCCTACAGATGACGGCAGCTGGGTGGGCCGGGACTTAAACCTTATGCCGCGTGTGTACATGCACACCCAAGGTCCCGAGAGGAGAATGGAAGGGAAGGGAGTGCTGTGTGGCCATCCCCCAGGGGTGAGTTCTCACCTTCTGTCTCTCCAGCGAGCACAAGCGCCCAATAGCAAAAATCTCTCTTTAAAAAAAAAAAAAAAATCATTGGGACCAGCAGTTAGCGTAATGGCTATGTCGCTGGACTCCCACGTAGTCGACTGCTGCTCAAGTTCTGGACCTGGTGGCTTAAACCTTATGCCGCGTGTGTACATGCACACCCAAGGTCCCGAGAGGAGAATGGAGGAGAAGGGATTGCGGCATGGCCATCCCCCCTGGGGGGTGATTTCTCGCTTTCTGTCTCTCTGTCTCTCTCTGTCTTTCTGGTGAGCGCACATGCCCTATAGCAAAAACCTCTCCAAAGAATAAAAAATCATTAATAGAGGATTTTTCTTTAGTAAAGGTGGAGAATGATCTGAGTTCATATCACTTTTAAAATAAAAACAGTTCCTGGCCAGCCTGTGGGATAATGGTTAAGGTGGCTGGATCCCACGTGGCCAAATGCACAGTTCTCGCCCTGGACCGGACACCTTGAAACATGCTGGCCATGCGTGCATGTGTGCCCCAAATCCCAAAGGGCGGCAGAAATGGCAGGAAAGAGACTGTGGTGGGACCGTTCCCTGTGGAGGGTGCCTTCTTATTCTCTCTCTGTCCTCTCTGCCTCTCTCTCATGACTGCACATTATCTCTGGCAAAACAACAAAAAGAAAAAACACTCCATCATGCTCACCTCTAAAAACCCACTGCAGAAAACAGTAAGACCGAGTGATGATGTCACCAATTCTAAGTCCTTCTACTTAACCAGTATTTGCTGACACCGATTTAGCACTACACTAAGCGTTATGAAAAGCAATTCTAAAGATAGATTTGAGGGAACCAGCAGTTAGCGTAATGGCTATGTCGCTGGACTCCCACGTAGTCGACCGCGGTTCGCGTCCCGGACCCGGTGGCTTAAAACTCACGCCGGGCGCGTGTGCGTGCGTGCCCAAGATCCCGGGAGGAGAATGGAGGAGAAGGGATTGCGGCGTGACCATCCTCCCTGGGGGGTGATTTCTCGCTTTCTGTCTCTATGTTTCTCTCTGTCTGTCTGGCGAGCGCACGCGCCCTATAATGAAAAAAAAAAAAAAAGATAGATTTGAAATAAAGCATTACAGATATCGCTATGATAAACACATTTGCCCAGTGCATTAATACAGCAGTACACCCTAGACCAAAAATACAGGGGTCCTTATCATTTTAGAAAAGGTCGAAAGACAATGCAAAACTCTCTGAAGCCCTTTAAATGACAGGTTTACTGTGATTTAAAGAACATAACTGGAAGACAAATAAAAATATTTTGAAGAATAAGACGCTAATGGGCAGAGTGTCAACAGTTTGAGTCACTAACTCAAAACACAGAGGGGTGTGCGGTGTTCTAGATGGAGTCAGCCTGGTCAAGGCCCAGACGCCGCAGCAGCCAAGGCTCAGGGAAACCCAGGCAGCTCTGTGCTCCCTTCCGCCTTTGGGAACCCTAAGCTGAATGTGTCAATGTTGCATTACTCAGCTATTCGTATGTTAATACGAGTGCTCTGCAATTAGGTCTGTGATCTGATCCTTCAGTGAAAGTCTAGTCTGTTTCATTCCTGCAGTGTCTGCATCCTATACCACCCTACACTTCTAGGTACCTTCGAGTTTGCAGACTCCAAGTATCGGGCACTACGACTGCCCTTGTGTGCAGGCACGGGGAAGAGGGCACCCTGTCAGGACGGAACGCAACACTCCGAGCCTCACTGCGGGGCAGAAACGGAGCATGGGTTGTCGCCTTTGCAGCTTTCAGTCGCCTTGTCCACACTCGACAGACTGCTCTCAGTTCTCCTCCTTAGGGTCACTTTTTTGAGCCTTTTATAATTAGGAAAACTTAATGTAGACATAATGAATTTTGCTAAAACACGGGTGTTTTGGGGAGCTAGCAGGTGGCGTGGTGGTTAAGGAGCTGGACTCCCCAAATGGGCAACTGTGGTTCAAGCCCTGGACCTGGCAGTCTCCTTTTTTCTCTCTGTCTCTCTCTGGTGAGCACACGTGACCCATAGCAAAATTATCAAAAAAAAATAATAATAATTTTTAAAATAGCATTTTTTACATACAATAAAGATAGATGGTGAGCACACGTGACCCATAGCAAAATTATTAAAAAAAAAATTAAAATAATTTTTAAAATAGCATTTTTTATATACAATAAAGATAGTATGGGGAAAAAACACAAATGCAAAATATACAAAGATACAATAGGCTTTTGGAAAAATATAAAAGAGCTATTTTGATTCTCCGTCCAATCCTGAGTAAGAAGGTAACAACTCAGGGCTGTATGTCAGAAGGGAGCAAAGGACAGACGCTTTCCCGTAATCGCGCCTTCTCTTGGCAGGAAACCCAAAGAAACACCCCCACAGGATCTACGTCCCTTCCTCTCAGTGAAGGGTAAGAGCCTG